TTACGATCTTCCCTTCATATTGGGTTGAATGTATAAACATTACGTGTCACGTGTGTCTGACAGACTGTTTGGCAAAGGGAGATGCAAGAGGCTGGGAAAGCATGCAAGGAAAGGAAAAAAAAGTCTTGATGAAATTGTCTGAGGCACTTGTGTTCACATACTCTAGACCTGAACTTCTTTACTTTGAAAGTCAATGGTATAGTGCACTCAACCAAGTGACCAGTGGTTCTGCTGAGATTGTGGGGGGCTGGTGTGACATGATGAAGGGGAACAGAGCACCGAAACTGCTGACTCCCTTTTGATTTAGGGAGAAGATAAAAAAATATTTTTGCCTTGGTCTCACTCTTCCTCATTATTTTGTGTTGGAGAAGAAAAACTGTCCTGTTTGTCCTTGTCCCCTTCCCTTCCAGTCAGCAGTTGTATCCATGCTTATTGCAAACAAGGCTACTTCCACCCAATTCAAAGAACCTGTTTCTAGCCACCTTTTCTGCTTTGCTTCAACATTTTTTGCTATCATGAAGTTTGCTGTAACCTATTGTCACACAGTCAAACACTGACACTTCTGTTGCTGAAGAGTGTGTATGAAGCATGGCAGAAGAGTTGTGGGTTTGCTTCCTTTTGTAAGACTGCTGACAACATCTAGACACACTAGCTTCAGGGCCTGGGTCTCTCCAAGTCTCCCAAGAAGCACAAGAAAATTTTGTTTAGTAGGCTGAAAGAGCTCACAGGGCATCATTGTGTTCTTAGATGTTTGACTGCTTTTTTTCATTTTGTGATACTACATCCAGTAGGGTAATAGAAATGTTTTCGCTGTTGTGCTTTTTCTGTCAGGATGAGGACTCTAGAAACCTACTGGGACTACAAGGAAGCTGCATTAAATTATCAAGAAGCTTGGAAAGTGCTGCGTAGCCAAGCCCTGTCGGGTTGGGTCAAGAATGACAAGGAATACCTGCACTTCACATGAGAATACATGCGGTTGTGCAAATCCAGCAATAAGCCCTGGTGCACAGCAGATACGCCTGCGGTTCAAGGGCCAGGAAAAGATGTCCTCTAGTTTATATGCTGTAAGGAGACAGGAGTGAAAAGGAAAGCAGTTTAAGAGTCTTTAATTTGGTTGAGTTGAAGCCCCCTTTTTATTGAAATACAGAAAATGATCATTGTAAACTTCAAAGTTGTGAGCTGCATGAAACAATGTGCCTCCAAAAGAAAGAAGCAGTGATGTGCTGTCCTCTGTTGTCTGAGCGTATGATCTGTCAGGCACAGTCCACTGCAATAGAAGTAACGTCACCTGCAATTGAAGCAGTGCTATGGAAGAAAGCCTGCCATTGTAAAATTTTAGTGCTGCTTTTTTCTTTCACTCTTCATAATGTTATGGTTGGTTTTGTGTTGCTGGGACAACCCTAATGTATGGTAAGTAATATTTTTTTATAACTCTTGGCTCTCCTTGTCTGGTGCCTGGAAGAATTTTCCATGTCTCCAGCCCCATTGCTTCTAATGGAAATACTAGTTCTGTTAAAGCGTCTTTTTTTTTTTCTGGATGTCCTCCATATAAGCTTCTATATACTAAATATAGTCAAAGCAGAAGCAAAAGACTGCTGAGGAGAAGGCCGTGTCAAATAATACCACTTATAATATCCCGTGCATCATTCTCAATTTCAGGACTTTGCCAGATACCTCTTCAACTGCTTTGCTTCTGTGGGCAGGAAAGAAACCTCCTGAATTACCTAGTTCAAACCTGTCACTCCTGTGTAATTCTAGGCAAACATTTACCTATTTTTCAGTGTTTTGAGCACTGTCCATCCCCCTGTTCCCCCTTGATATGTGGTTATTTAAAAGCAGGGATGCCTTAGCCATTTATGTCACTGTTTCCTGGCACGTGTTCATTAGTAGCCTCGCAAAGGTGGAGATGCTTTGGAGGGGCCTGGGTCTTTGCCTTTACACTTTATTACCAAGTAACATCTGCATGGCAAAACGGTCAACATTGTGAGCTGGGAGGAAGCAGTGGGTAATCCTCCTTAAACTTTCTGTCCCAGATTATTGTTTTCTTTGAGCAAATTCAGGACTGCAGCTGCTACTGAGCACACTCCCCTTTTGTATGTCTGTTGTAAACTACAATTCATAAAATATTTGGACAAGGCAATGGCAGGATGAAAGAAGTGGATGACTGAGAAGAATTCTTTAGTGATTTGAGTTTTCTGTTCTTAGGTATCTTACTGTAGTTTTGGATTTGAAAAATGGGCACAGCAGTTCTCAAAAAAGCCTTTACAGTCAACCTACTGAGCTACATATGTGACTGAACAGTACATACCATGTTACAGTCTGAGAACCGATTACAGAAAATCCTTTTACTTCACACTCGGGTTGACTTGTCAAATAAGAGTAGTTCTCATCTTACCTGCTGAAGAAGTAATGGAGGACTTGAGTTCTGTGTGTATAAGCCTGTCATCTTAAATCCAGCACTAACATGCAGAAAGACCAGTTGTATTGGTGAGGGGGGGAATGAGTCATTGAATGTGTTCGTAGAGGGCAGGGGATTATGGATAATGGTGACTTGCATTAGTCATCAGAGGATGAAAAATGGCCCGATGCCATTACAGATGGGCTATGGGGTGAATTGCTGAAGAGAAATGGTAACAGTTACTGTAACTGAGCAAATAGCATTCCAAGGGTAGAATCCTGTAGTGTACTTAAGAGATAACCAGAAAATTTCCAAGCTCCTGAAATTTACTTTTGTCTTTCCCTAAGATCTTACAGAAACTATACCTTAAGGTACCTGGGTTCCCATTGTTAATCAACAAGATCTGTAGTGAACTGCTGACCAGACTGGAATGTTTCCATTTCCTATCCAGCTGCAATGTTAAAATGGGTTAGATAAGACTAGTTGTTCTGTAGTCTTGGCATCAAGACTAGTTTTCAGATGAGCAGTATATATATGATGTAAATTCTTAACTCTCCTAAAATGTCAGCCTGGCTGTTAGAAGAGATTGTTCCTGGTATAAGATTGTCCTGTGCATTTGTAAAATACCTGTGAACTGTAGACAGCTGCTTTCTGCAGGTTTAAATGTAGTTTTAGAGGTGCTGAACACTGATATTAACCTCACTTTTTTGGATGGAGTTGAGGACACATTTAAGCCTGGAGTGAGTCAGTGAATACTCAGAGAGGGAAGGAGCTAAAACAGAGCAGCATTTAAAGGCTGAGGGGCTAAGCCTGCAGGATCTCGTACTCAACTGGAAGGCATTTCTGGGATTGAAAATAAGTATTAAAATGCTGCATCTGTTTAATTCCAAAATGTCAGGAAATGCTGTAAGCAATACCGAGAAACTGCTCTAAAGATCAGAAGGGAAAAATACGGAGAGAAGAGGGAACACAATCTCTGCCTTTGGAAGAGGTAGCAAACTAAACTTTCATCGTCACTGGATCTCTGGAAGAATTGCTCCTGGGAGGTAGCAGTTGATGTGTTCCAAGCCTGTATCACTCCTTTGCACTGGAATAGCTGGCACACTGAAAAACAGATAGGCAAGGTGTAGGGAGGACAGCAGAATGCAGAGACCCTGCCACAGGGGAGCAGAGCTGGGGGAGTGGAGCAAAGTGCCCGCAGTTCACCATTAATGGGGACAACCGAACAATTGGTCATGGGAGCAGCAGAGCATAAGAGGGCACCAAGTTTCCCAGGGCATGTGTAAAATGCTCTGCAGAGCATACTTGTATTACCCAGATAGGTCCTTAATTTTCCCAAATGGAAAGCCTCTCTGGGCAACCTGTTCAGTGTTTCACCACCCTCATTCTTCCTTTTATCTAGTCTGAATCTACCCTTAGTTTAAAACCATTAAAAAGTCTTTCCACATCTTTCTTATTAGCCCTCTTTAAGTATTCAAAGGCTGCAATATAAGGTCTCTCCAGACCTTTCTCTTCTCCAACCTAAACCACCCCAACTCTCTCAGCCTGTCCTCACAGCAGAGGTGTTCCGGCCACCTGATAATTCCTGTGGCTTCTGGAATGGTTGTATAGGTCTGTGTCTTTCCTGTACTGACAACTCCAGAACTGGACACAGCACTGCAGTCACAAGAGCAGAGTAAGAGGGGGAGAATGGGAGAATCTGCACTCCCTACCCC